AAGAAAGTGGAGAGTAGGTTAGTTATGCTGGCTTAACTTTTATCATTGTAACATGGACTCTTGCTGTGCAGTTCGGAGTATTTTGGTTCAATTAACACAAAAATAAGGCGACCCACATAGATTTCCTGAGAGAATCAGGAGTGCAGTTGTTTAAGTTAGATTATCAACCACCGCTGGTGTTCAGAGAATCACTTCCTAATGATCACAAAATGGAAATTCAAAAACATAAATCTGCAACGGACAGAATGTTCTGTGTTTTCATGTACTTTTTTGTGTGGGAAATGTTTTTGTGGTTTTCTTAGTGTTAATTCCTGATGCACTTGAATGTAATCTTTGCTCTGCATTCCCTGGGCTGCTGTTTATTGGTTGTCATGGCAACGAGTCTGCGTGTGGCCTTAAGCTGACAGACTGAAAAATATAATACAACTACCCGTTTTTCTACATTTTTCCCCTGCATGAAGGGGAAAAATGCATAATTTGTTCATAGGACGTGCCAATATTCAGAGCAATCATCAAATAGAATTAAATATTTCGTAAAGCATAAAGAGGCAAAGTTTCTTACATTTTAAACCATGGCTCCTACAGCGACAATTAAGTCAAATTTAATTATTGGTCAATATAAAAGAGAAATTTGCTTTGTTCTCTCCTGTATCTTACAGAAACAAAACTACTTATAGATTTATATGCAGAGAGAATATATGTTTTTACATCTAAACATCAGCATCTCAGCTTTAAGCCAGATTTGATAAAATCCAGAAATATCGAAGGTCACTTTACTCACCAACTGCCCCAACCAGAACCAAAAAAGATTTTGCATCTTTAATATTTGCTATATTAAAGACACATCATATATCATCTGTTATGTGTAAGTCAGCAGGGCAAAGGCTTTGCCCACCAACTGAGGGACAGATGTGGAATCAGAATCACATAGTAACTGAAAAATACAAAATGTGCACTGACAAGGATTCATTTGGTTTACACAGAAGTTACTTATTCTGCATTTGAAATTTTTAGTAACATTTTGATTGTTATAGAATCTCCTGTTGCTGATATTTTTAGCACTTGATAAAATTAGACAATAAAAGGCAACTATGTGATAATTCTTCACAAAAAATCTTATTGAATTGTGAAACTGTTTTCAACTGTAGGTAAGCATTCAGCAAATACAGGCTGATTCCATAAATTAGAATATAACTGAAAAGTTCCTTTGTCAGCAGTTCAATCACCAAGTGAAAGACATTATATAGATTAATTAGATTACATATGTTTTAACATATTTGTATTTCGCAGTATGTTTAATATTTGCTAAAAGGTTATTTTCTAAAGGTACTATTAATCTGATAAGCCTGATCAGGATGTATATCCTAATTTATTGAATAAGACTGCATGGCATTCACATGTAAGTTTTGGCTATATTTTTAGCACTAGAAAAGAAAAGGCCTTCCAGTAACTGTGGTTGCATCAGTGCCCAACCCCCGCTCCTCCTCGTCCCCACCAACTTGCAACACAAAGTTACACCCTTGTACCACAGTGCTCCTCGTCACTGTTGTCACCACAATCGTCTTCATGGTCACACTTAAAGGCCAGAGGGATGCACGAGCCTGAGGCTATGCAACGGAACTGGTTGGATGGATCACAAGTTGTAGTGGCTGCAAACAGAGATGAGCATGGGAGAAAAGTGAAATTCTTTCCTAATCTGGCTCCTTTTCTTGTTTTTTATGTAGAAAAGGTTAAGCAGGTGGAAACTTACGACACTCCTGCTCATCGCTCATGTCTCCACAGTCGTTGTCACTGTCGCATTTCCAGATACTGCTGATGCAACGTCCGTTGGCACAGCGGTACTGATTGGGCAAGCAGCTGTGCTCTGATGGGAGGATGACAAGCAAGCTGTGAATTACTCTCTAAGAATGGGTTCCTCTGCTCCAGGACGGAGAAGATTATAAATCACTGTGAAGTTAAGGCCTGGTTATGCTCACTGGTTTTGGTGCATGTGTTGTTTTGATGCTGGTAACCAGGGGGACACTGGCACTGCAGCTCTCCATTGGGTATGGTCAGGGTCGGTGCACCCTCCGGACAAACACAGGTGTGTTTGTGGCCAGGCTGTGGGAGACACAGCAAACTGCATGGCTGGTAGGTGCAGGCATTATGCCCTGATAAGGTAGAGAGAACAATCAGATGATCATAATAAGTTCTGATTTATAACCAGAAAAGAGAACTCAGCTCTATAATAATGGTGATGAATGCTCCTCACCTCTGTTCTTCCCCTTATAGAAAATCTTGAGGTCCATGACTCCAGTTAATCTGCCAACAATCAGCTCATTGTTCTGAGATCCAGCTTTTGGAGCTTTGAAGATTCCCATTCTTGACCAGTCGTCCCAGTACAGATCATTCTGAAATCACCATTCAATGTAAAAACTAAAGCATTCAGATTTAACATAAGTAAGTGACCACAACAAAGACAAAAGGTAACTGAAGGCAGTAAATACTAGAAGTGGAGACTTAAGTCTGTGACATAGATCTTCCTTGTAAAGACAAAGACTTCAAATCACAGATGCCTAGTTTACAATCAGTGGTACACCATGAGTTGATACATTGTTTTATGGTCCGGCGTATTCAAGAGTGCATTTTCATCACCAGTTAGACCTCTCACTCGGCAGGCGGTGTTAAACCCATATGCCTAACATTGCATCGTACAAACGTGACACACTGGTGTGTCTCATGCTTTTTGCCAGCAGCAATGATTTTCTGTCCTCCAATTAATAGACTGTGTTGTGACACCAATAGCTCCACCCTAATTGTACTGTACTGTTGTCTTATGTACTGTACTGTTGTCTTATGGACATAGGTCCATAAGACAACAGTACAGTACAATGGTAGTGTACTACCATAATTGAAGGGATTCACCATTCCTGAACCCCTTCAATTATATAATTGAAGGGGTTCAGGAATGGTGGGTTACTAGTTGGTTATATGGGACACTTTTACAATGGAAACAGACAAAATGGCATACTGCCAAACTAACTCATACCATAAAGCTTAGTGGAAAGAAGGCATTAAACTGGGACTTGAAATACTCCTTACTCAACTGAGAGTTGAGGGAAAAGACATAAATCTCATGAAAAATCTTTACCTCATGCCAGTAAGGGTGAAAGTATATCTAAACCCATGGCTCTACAGTGGTATATGTTCAACTAGTGGTACTTGGACTGCTATTAGTGATACTTAATGAAAATGTTTGAATGGATTATGTACAATGTAAATAAGAAGTTTATATTATGTAGAGCTGAGAAGTTCCAACTGGCAAAAAGAGGAGTTTTTAAAGCACATTCAGTTCAACTTTATCAAAATCTTCTTCAAAGTAGACAAAACTCCAATTGTGAAGAGTAGAGTGAATCAGGAACAAGGTATGGTGGCTACTTATACTGGATTCCATTTAATCAAGAGTTGAAAGTTAGATCTGGAGGATTTGATCTAATGTAACTTAGCCGTTACACCGCTCCAAAACAGAAACCTGACAGGATTTACTAATTATCTACTTAACTGCTAATAACAATACATTTCTCAGCAATTTGTACAATCAATTATAGTGAAATGTTCACTTAACATTAACAGGTGTTTGTCTCCTCATGAATAAATACATATTTACATTGTAGTGGAGTAATTATAGCTTATTAATAAAAAAATAATAAAACCTGTTTAAAGTTAATTTTAAAGATAAAAATGTGTGTTATGTGTTAATTTAAACATAACCAACAGCCATTTTGTGTGTTAGACAGACCATGCATCTGATGTGAGAAAATGGATTTCAGTCAAAAACTTGAGACTTGACTTGAACTTGTCTGTCCAAAGCTTAAGACCTGAACTAGGAACCATACTTTACCTTGAAGACAGCAATAGCGTACGGATGGGGCAGTCCCTCCATCAGAACACTCCTCTGTCCTCCGGTGAAGTCTGCCCTTTCAATGCGGTCGCTGAACGCCTCGGTCCAGTACAGCCACCGGTCATCTGTGGTGATCCCGTTGGGCCAGCGGACTCCTTCTGCCATGATGCAGGACACATTGCTTCCATCCATGTAGCCCCGGTAGATGCCGGCTGCCCGGTCTCCCCAGTCAGTCCAGAACATCATACTGTTGAAGATTCAAATAATCTGTTTGGATTTCTGTTGCATTTTTCTTTGCTTTATTTTGTTTTCCAGTCTGTTGAACTTTTCACACCTCTACATGCATGAGCTAAACATGTTTAGTTATCTTCCAGACAATAAGTCGCCCCCAAGTATAAGTCTGATCAGTCAAAAAATATGTCACAAAGAGAAAAAAAAAAAAACATACGAGTTGCAACCATAGTCTGAGTTGCTTGACAACCTAGACTATATTATATGTGTGTGAATCATACTCCAGAAATGACGGTAGTTGGCCACTATCAGGACTAGCATGCCTACTTAAAATAAATCAAAATGGAAAGACATGGTGCAGCAATGATGTGTTTGACCATTTATGGTTTTCCTGAAACTTTTACCTCTAACACTCTGTATTACAGGCAATGCTACTGTCGAGTAGTATTGATCCTCATCAGCACTACTCCAGACCTACTTACATTAATTACAGATGTATCTTTACCTTTCTGCAGGCAGCAGAACCAGAGCTCGGGGGTGTTCCAGGATGGAGGAGTTGAGCAAAGTGTGACGCAGGTCTCCGTCAGGATTAGAAACCTTCAAAGACAAGGAGAATTTTTTTACTGGAGCTCTGTTTGTTTGGAAGGGTTAAGTTTAAACATTTAAACACATACTGTTTGTTAATAAGAATACAGATTTTGTCAAAAGATAAGGTTTGCAGCCAAGTGTCTTCATGTTTTTTTTGTTTGAAAAGCTTTCCTTAGCAAAAGCATAAACAAGTATGGATTTGATCCCAGTTTACTGGGTTCTGTTTGTCCACCTGCTTCTAAGTTTGGATCCTGTTATTCCTGTATCAATTTGATACAGTAGGGGCTTCCACATTTCCTATATCAGTGTCCTCTGTCACTTTTTTCAGCTGTTAAAACTGTTTAAACCATTGTTAAGACGTCGTAACCTGGTTTTCCGAGCCGCCTTCAAACGCAACATGAACGCTAAAGCATTCATGCGGGTTTACACCTGTGCAGCAGTGATGGAGATCTGCTGCTGCTGTGTAGAGATACTCAGGTGTGTGTTAGAATCATGGTAGCAAACCAGCAAAACGCAAAAACTTTGCACAGATTTTCCCCTTAGCTAACCGATTGAGTTGAGTAATGCTGTTGGATGCAGGTAATGTTAGCTAAAATATGACTAGCTAATACCAATACAGCACCTTAAGCTTGTTAACAAGCAGCCTGTAAGCTACTGATGTTGTTGTCTATGTTCAGCTACGTAGATTCATTTTGCCCCCCCTCAAAATAAGTTGATGCCCAACTTGTTAAACTCCTCTGGAGCCGGAGCTGGATCAGGATGCTTCACTGTTACCACAGCACTGGCCTCATGGTTTTATTCTCCAGGCTAAAGCTTCGCCAGATGTCAAAACAATCAGAAGAATAGTTCATCAGTAAATCTTGTTTTGCTCCAGTCTTCAGCAGTTCATCACTTCCTGCTGTTCCAGTTTGTCCCTAATGATTTTACTGGATACAGATGGGTCGGAGTGCACTGATAAATCAACTCCGATTTCCTTAATTTTGGGAAATTGGCACTGGGCCGATACCGATTTTATCTACCTCTGCAAAAGTCTGAAAATCAGCCACTGTCCTCTTCTGATCTACTGAAGAGCAGAAGAGGACACCCAGATAGCACACGATGGTAATTCAAAGTTGAATTATAGTCAAAATGGTTGATTTTTGGTTGAGGTCGACAATTGACGGTGGATCAACCATCAAACAGTCATCCAATTCTAGCCAAGTAACCAATGTTGAAAAGATGTCATTGAATGTTGTTTTATGGTTGAAATCTAATGATTGAAATGCCGATGTCTGATCAACGTCTGATCAATGTTGAATCAATGTATGCTGTTTTGTCGCACCCCATCCTCTCTTCTCTTCTTCTGAGCTCTGGGTGAGAGCATTTTACTAGTGAGCGGGGTTATCACGTTTTAAATTAAGCATGGTTGAGGATAGTGGGTTGTGATTCTTTATCTACATTTTCTTAATTGTCCATAAAAATCATTACTGACTGTTTGTGCAAGATATGTTGACACATAAAATCTACAACTTACTACATGGAGTGGAGCAGTCCACCCCCACTATTTACATGAGCGGGATGTCCCAACCACACAGCCACTTTGCTGTTGGCTTATTTGCAAAAGATGTTAATTCAATGTTGAATTATGATCACAAAGGTTGAATTTATGGTTAAGGTTGACAACTTATGGTGGATAAACCATCAAACAATCATCAAATTCTAGCCAATAAACTAATGTTGAAAATATGTCATTGAATCAATGTTGTTTTGGGGTCAAATTCTAATGGTTGAAATGCCAACGTCTCATCAGGGGCCTCATGCATAAAGTGTGCCTGCGCACAAACAATGTGCGGCGCTGTATTTTACGCATGTATAAAAATTTACTTTGCATCAAAGGGTGCGTAAATATACACACACTTTTTCGCTGGCATGAAAATGTGCGGCAGGCACACAAACTTTTTCTGTGAACAATATCAAACTACAAAGCGTCAAAACTCACATAAATACACTGAAACCTGACTACATTCAGTGTTTTTAGACCAAGAAGCATCAAACAAGGTGTTTTTTTTCATGATTTAATTTTTTTATTGCTTAAAAATAAAAGATGAAACTGAACCGCATTTATCCCCAGACAATAAAGTAACATGAACACAAAATAAAAATAAAAGGATGTGAAAACCTCACTCGAATGTAAATAGTACTTTTCCTCAGTTTTTGTCTCATAAAGAGGTAACATGTCGGTCTGTGCACCGAAGCGCATGAAATGCATCTATGGGGTAATATTATTCTCACTAAAAAAAACAAAACAGGGTTGGATCAGCAGATTAACTACAAACAGGTTTGATTACTTTTAAGGTGAGGTGTGTAGACAATCCCGTATGTACGTAGCTGTGCAAAAATGTGCCACATTGTGGATTGTTTTGGCTCTGATGGGGAACATTGCCAATGGAAGGAATCAGAGGGAGCGATTGATCAGAGATCATATTTATCTTCTGTTGATGATGGTTTATTAGTGTTTAGATTAAACAAGACAGATCATTCTGGAGCTCTGAGCAAAACTTAAGGAAGGAGCTGTGCAGTACTGGTACTGGTGCAAGTGCAAGTGCGCCTTTCTGGACAGAAAGTATCTTTATTGTGCAAATGTACAACTTATCCACATGATTCTACTATTTAGATAGAATAAACGTCCACATTCCCCACTCAAAGACTCTCTGATACACTCTGTCTTTAAATCCCGGCTGAACGCCCCCCTATGGTTCAAACAGGTATTTTCACAATCTCTTTATTTATTTATGATTTTATCTTTTCTTTAAAATGCATTATTTTTATTTTTGTGAAATAATAAAAATAATGGATTTTTATTACTGAAAACACCTTTTAAATAAAATATATTATTATTATTATTACAAATACTCATACTGCTACAAACAAGAATGTCGCCATGGTTACGCTTTGCGTGGTGGCAGAGTTCTGGGTATTTATACTAATTTACATATGTATTTATGAGTGGCGACAGGATGGACCAGCAGCTGCGCTCTATTTCCCGCAAATCAGGATTTATAAAGGAAAAGTGCGTGACCACGTGCATGCGCACGGCTTTATGCATCCCATTTTTTTTGTGCGCCGCACTTTCCTAAATTTTTGTACGCAGTTTTTTAGTGTGAAAACTGCGCATTTTTTTATGCATGAGGCTCCAGATGTTTTTCCAACACACCACGCACACTGCTCTGCAAATTTAGGCATTTCTCTAAAAGTAAAATGTCAAGTAAAATGATCATTTAGTGCCTGGATAAAAATATTGCAAACATTAGAATTTTCAGCTGAGTTCAGATGAACTGTAGTGACATGTCAGGACATTGTTTCGAAATGTTTTGTGATGGAGCAGAAGGGTCGGCTATATGTCATCAGAATGCCAGTGCTTGGGACACTATAAGTCACATGTTGAAATATCATTAAGCACATTTTGTAATATGCGTTTGTGGGCTGTTGCATGACAAACATGTGTTGGTGTTGTGTCTTAAATGGAGCATTAGGTACTTATTGTAGCACACTTATTTTACAAAAGGATCTTAACGTTGATCCTGCAGTGAAATCTTTATATATCATCACTATGTAAAATTATCTGAAAAAGAATAGTCATCAGTAAATATTTGAAAAATTAAGCTGTTGCCCATCTTAGGACACTCAGGTGCTAAAAATATTTTCTGTTAAGAAGGAAATGATATTTGAACTGAATGTATTTAAATTTGTTTGAATGTTTGTCTCTGATACCTCAATCTTCTGGGCTCCTGCATCGACCCAGTACAGCAGCCTGCTGATGGGGTCAAAGGTCAGAGCCTCCACATTCTGCAGATCTTTCCTCACAATGACCTCCTGACCTGTGCTGCCATTCAAACACAGACGCTGCAGAAGAAGCAGGACATAGAAACCGTAAAGGCCAAGGCGATGCAGTTATTTCAGGAAAGAGCAAAGTGAATTAACTTCTCCAGAGCAACTTGGATAAAAGACCCATAAAGTCCAGCTCATACCTGGATGGTGTCCAGCGAGATGTCTGCCCAGTACAGGCAGTTCCTGTCATAGTCAAAGTCCAGTGCCACGGCTTCCCTAAGGCCAACTAGAGGCAGGGGCTGGTCGGTGCCAGTGGCCAGGTCGTAACGGTGGATGGAGTTCCTCACGGCATACAGTATGAACTCATTACTCTCTGTGAAACACAGCACACACTGATTCAGGCCTATGGCATTCCTGACGTAAAGGCAACCAAAGACTTGTTGTAATAACCTCCAACAGGACAGGGCAGCATCTCTCCGTCCAGCCTGGCCTCCACGTCTCCCCCACTGCAGCTGTCCCCTGGTACCTTCCTGTAGCTGCAGCAGCAATACAATAGTTTCTCCTCAGCAGGAGGGCGGATGCTACTCCCACGAACACACCAGTAGGAATCAGTGAAAAGATTGTCCATGTCCTTCTTGTGATGAGCACAGAAAAAGTAATCCAGAACTTAAATTAAACTGGAGCAGTACTGCTAAAATCAACAAAATCTTTTCAGTTTACATTTTGTCACAATATAACCACAGACTTCAAGGCTTCACATTAGAATTTCAGGTGACAAACCAGACGTAGTGAATAGTTGGAAAGCAAAAAAAAGCTGATATATGGCTCTCATTTAACTTTGACTAGGCCATTCTAACACAAGAATGGACTGATCTAAACAATTGTGTTGCAGCTCTGGTTGGATGTTCAGGGTAGTCGTCCATCCTCCCATCAACTCTGACCAACTTCCATGTTCCTGATGATAAAAAAACATTCCCACGGCATGATGCTGCCAGCACCATGTGTTCAGAGAGATATTGTATTATGTTTTTAACCAAACAAGTTTGTGCTAGAGGCCAAACAATTTTCAATTTCAGCTACACTTGACCACCTACCTCCACACGTTTGCTGTACTGCTGATGGCTTCTACAGATGGAGCTTTAAAAGACTGCTTGCAGAACAGCTGGATGTACAGTAAACTATACAAGTTGTTAACAAGGCTTTCTGAAGGGAATGGCCTGTTTTAATTAGTACAAACACAGAAAACTTTTCTTCTTTACATTTGTAAAAATCAAAATAAAAATGCGGTTAAGGCATGATAAAATGTGGAAAAGACGGTTGGAATAATTTTGCAGCTATCAGTCTTGTTTTTCAATTTTTAAATCTGACATGAACACTTCATGAGAACATGCATGGGGCTAAAGTCTTATAGCAATTTATTTCTACAATTAAAACAGGATATCTGTGTTTTGAGAGATCAGAGATGCAAAGTTTACCCTTTGCTGCGGTGGTAGCTGGTACCAATGGGACAAGGAACTGGAGGAGCATAGAGGTCTCCCAGGAACTCTGGGTCAGGTACACACACTTGAAGAGACAAATCCTCACTCAGCTTAAAGCCATAGTCACTGGAAGGAGAGGGAATGTGGAAAGAGATACACTCAGATTAACTTCTGCACTCTACAAGTAGTGCAGAAATTAGCGCTGCTAGAAAGCAGTAGTGCTGCTAAAGCACCTAGAATACAATCTAATCATCTGTATCACCAGACAGCAGAACAGCCTTCTCAGAAGAAGCAGATTTCCTTTTAGTGTCATTGTGCAAGAAAGCACAACATTTAAAAAAAAGAAACTTTCAAAGGCAGTGAAGATAAAAAATGATAAGCATATTTCAATAAATCTAAAAAATATACTAGAAACACATGAATGAATGATGTTCAGGGTTTGGGATGAATTTGTGATGTTCAGGGCAACAACAGCTCTTGGGTAGAATCTGTTTTTCACTCTGTTAGTTTTTGTCTATATTGCCCTTAAGTCCCTCCCTCAGAGTAATAGTTGGAAGAGATGGTGGCCAGGTTGTGAAGGTCCCTCACCATTCATAGTCCTGGCGAGTGCAGGAACAGTTGGAGATGGTGACAGGCCTGTCAAAGTCTTCCCCATTGAAGCACGTGGCGTGAGGAGCTCTTCTTTTGAAGGTCACCTCCCTGCCCAGCAGACACTCGTTACCATGCTCGTCTGATGGAGACCAGCGCTTGTAATCGGCTTCAGAACACGGAACACCTGGACAACAGAGGAGCACTTTGACTCCTGACTTAACCTCATTAATGCTATCTGCAGATAGAAACTTTGAAGCAAATAGAACAAGATGGAAATAAAATCTTTCTTCAGCTTTGTTCTCTTATTTTAAGGACTAAAGTTTGACACCTGTGCTCTAAAGTATCTGAACCTTTTAGCCCAGAATCCATGTAGCACCTTATGGGTTGGGAACAGAAGCGACAGAAGCAACTGGAAATACATTTTCACTTACCCATGACAGATGCAAAGAAGCTAGCTAGACTGGACATATTAGCAGCGAGTTAGCTGAAGAATCTGAAGAAGCCTCTGATTAAAAACTGCTGCTGAATGACGGTCATCACATGCTAACAACCCAATATTTAAGCAGGAGTCAATATTCCACAGTAATATGCCCTGGATGACATCAGGGTAGTTCTGCTAATTCGCCTCATTTTTTATGTTTTGCTGCTCCTCTTCAACTCTGTCTGGAATCTGGGATATAATTATCTCTGGAAAAGATGCTTCAAACTTCCACCTTCTCTTTCTGCTCTGTTGAGATGCTACCTTGTTTCCACGGTTACGCATTGTTACAACTCTACGAAACTAAAAAAGTAAGATAAAAAATTCTGTGCTGGGAGAATAATTATCCAAACATTTAACTCCCCCCGCAAAAAATTATGAACAAAAGTCAACAAAAAGAACAAATCAGAATGAACAGAGATACTCCAACATGCTGCCATCATGAGTGGGAAAGTTATAGACATGTATGCAATTCAGAAGAAAAACAGTAAATTGCTCATGTAAAAAAACAGCTCATACTGCAGTTATATGGATATTTTACACCTGCAGCAAAACAGAAAACTGTGGCCAGATTTGGTGTGAAACCTTAGGCCAGTGATGCTCAAGTCCAATCCTCAAGAGCTACCATCCTGCAACTTTTAGATTCATCCTTACTCCAACAGACCAGGATCAAATGGCTGAATTCCCTCACCAGCAGTCATTTAGCTCTGAACAGGCAAGATAACAAGTCA